AGAGCGACAATCCAGGATGGAATCACACTCCCTGGCAATGTGGTCTATTTGAGTCCATCGCTGGACAGCTACAAAAAGATGCCAAGTGGCACCTCGGCGCCCACTGTCTAAAAGCGGTGCTACTAAGAAACAGCGGGTGCTCGGCGCACAGTTACAACAGGCATTCGTCGTTGTCCGTCCGTTCGAAGTTAGGCCTATAATTACCACGTAGCTGAGCTTCTGAAGAGCCCAGGTGACCTATCTGCGCATTCCTATTCCTTGCAAATACTATGATATCTGAACTGGTAGCAGTGGGTAGTAGCGCATTCAGTTCGTGGCAAGAGGTGTCTTTAGCAAAATCACGACTGGCGAGGAACTTCGGCCGCATCAACCTTAATAAGTTACAGGAAAAAATCCGACCGATCAACTGGTCTCTAGAAAATGGGCACGCCACACTAGAGCAGGGGTGAGCGTAATAAAAGATGGTCTTGTTCAATTTCTGGACGAGTTTGCTCCCTTGTACGGCAAAAGACATATCAATAAGCTCAGCTGGTGGCGTCAGAGAATGGATCGGCCGATAAAGAAGCGCGAAGATTCTTGGAAAAGTTTTAGGATTCCGAAGGGTTTAATCTTCGGCTGCATTATGAAAAGTTCTGGAATTTGGCAGTCAAATTGCAAAGACATGCGGAATACTGTTATGAGCTTAAGTTAAATCAGAATGCAAAAGCAAGGCCGACAAGAATAAGCCACGTCTCGCCAATCTGCTGTGCATTTTGGATGATACCCCGCTGTATTGACGATGGAATTTCAGCAGAAAGTGACTATCTACACTTCAGTAACGCTTCTGATTTTGTTTAATCATCTTTTCTTACTGGGAAAGGTGACATCGTTTGGGATACATGCCTAACTATTGAATTGGGTAGCGGAATTTATCTACAGGAGAACCTTCTTAGAGTTGGTGACCCCAGCTCAAGCACAGGCACCGCTCACAGTGACGTTCCCCAGGGTTCAGTACTAGGCCCGTTATTGTTCCTTAGGTAAAGAAATGATTTGGTTCTTCTTGAGAAGCCTTGCTATATCTTTGCGGACGATGTAAGACTTGTAACCAGGGGCAATGGAAACATGCTACCGAAAGATCTTTGCACTGTGGCGAGGTTGTCGTCTTTGTCCCTTAATGCCAAATTGGTAACTATTATTCTCCAGTAGCGAAAGCGTTATAGGGCAAACTACTGCCGGTACATAGACGTTGCGGTGCGTTGAAGAAGCATGTGGTCTGGGTATCATTGTGGCGAATAACTTCAAACCCACAACACAGTATCAGCAGGCAGCCAATAAGGCGCAGCAAGAGCTATTCCGTTTCAGAAGAGCATTATACAACACTAAACCTGACGTTTTGTTTCCCTTATATAAGGCGGTAGTACGGCCTCACTTAGAATATTGTGTACAGACTTGGGCACCGTATCTCCGGAACGATGCTACTTGCATACAAAAGGTCCAAAAACCAGCAACTACGATGATTGAGGACCAGTGTGTAAAGTCATATGATGAACGCCTTAGGAGCCTAGGATTGTTTACTATGGAATCGCACAGATTGGGAGGTAACCTGGTAGAGTTACAATATTATGAAGGGCCTCAGTGGTAGCAGGCTTCTGTTTGAACCAATTGCAGCCGACCACCTGGGGTGGCATGAACCTAAGCGTAAGCATCAAAAGACTAGACTAGAAATTAGTGCCAAATTCTTTGAGAATCGTGTAGCTCATAATTAGAAAAAGCTTTTTTCCACTTTAATGGGAAGTATCACTGCAGATGATACACTTGCTGATATGGCTAGGAGCCGAACCCAGTGGCGCTCGTGCTGTGAGTTTCTTTGTCCCACTCCATCCCTCTTAGCCTCCCCTCCAACCACGATCTCACTACTTAGCCTTATATAATTTTGCATAGTAATTTTTTCGCCGCACAGTAGCCGACTGGTAGCTTACCGGAACGATGCCCACCAGTTACCGGTAGCTCAGTTGGCTTGCACCAGTTGCATTTTATTCCCTTTTCTTTTAGGTATTGCGGCACAGTAGCTGAAGTCTTTCCCACCTCTAGCTAACGTGTATAATGATGATGATGATCACTGCAAAAGCCCTCAAAAGGGTTTGAACAAGTGAAGTGAACTGGAGGTCCCTCCGTTTGTCTAAGTACGATGTGTAAAATCTTATATAGTCCCACCTTGTACTCAGGCAAAGTAGAAAGCTTGTCTGTTGGAACGTTCAAGTTGGATCGGAACAGTAGGAAGATCCCGTGAATGTTCCACCTTCGAGTACGTCTTTGCGCCAACAGGGAATGTGGCGGATTGATCCGCCAAAGGAGAGAAAAATCAACACACAATTTACATGATAAGCCAAACAATGCCCAAGTGCTCTGCACTAGCAGTTTCCGCCGTGCTGGTCACGTGAAAAAAGCGAAAGGGAATAATAGGAAAGACAGGTTTATCAAATTACATAAGTAATATTGTGATGCAAGTGAAAATGAATTAAGAAGGAGTAGGCAGTAATAGACGAGTAAAAGCTTAAGGCATGAAGTGGTATACCTTAAACTGTAGACCGAGGGCGTCAAGTTGATGTTCAAACTCTCACCATCGGTGCTATTACAACTTCTGCAGGCAGCGCGTTCCAATAACCTATGACCCTATGCGATAACTGAAAAGCTACCCCAACCCGGTCAGATCGCGGTTTGTGCAACTTTAATGGGTGGTCACGAAGAGTTGGCAATCGAGTTGGGTGGAACAGTCCAATTAAATCAGGATCAATCTGACCCATTAGTATGCGATATACGAGGACCAAGTTGTCCCTGTAATGCATGGGAAATACGCCCAACTTACGTAGCCTTTCAGGGTATGTCAGCTTCTTTAACCCATGCACCATTTTCGTGCCAGACCACAGGATCAGTTGGAGTGCCATCCTGTCACGAACGAGGCGTGAGGGACAAGCCTGTAGACAGTATTCTAAGTGCGGCCATCCAGAAACCGAAAAGTTTAACGAAAATTTAAGGCGTCATGATCCCGAATGACTTGCGGATCATTCCCAACATGCCAAATGCTTTGCGAGCACCTGTCGTCCAATGTTTACTGGACTTAAAGTCGGGTGATAGCAAGACTCCTAGGTCAGCTTGGAGCTGCACTCGCAGCACTTCGTTGCCAGCAAGCAAATAAAGCGTCAGTGGGTTATTTGGTCCTGCGCGTAAAATGAACATTTCGCGAGAACAACGGGCAATTTCCACAAAAGGGACCAGTGCCAAAGTCTATTCAAAGCCCATTGTAGGGCCAGTAGACCACTCGGATCGTTTACTATGGACCAGAATGTTAAGTCATCCGCAAACACTAAAGATGGCGCTACCAGCTCATCAGATAAGTCGTTAACCTATAAAGTGAATAGAAGGGGGCCAAGGACTGAAGTTTGCGGGACTCCACTGAGAACGCATAGTCGAAAAGACAGGCAGGAACCCACACGAACACTCATTTCCATTCCGATTAGAAAAGCTGAAAATCATCGTGAGACAAGCCCAGAAATACCGGAGGACTGCAGCTTGTACAAAAGGCGCGAACGCAGAAGGGTGTCAAAAGCTTTGGAAAAGTCAAGTAACATCAAGTACACTGCTTTCTCTCGCTCGAGGGATTCGGCCCAATGTTCTCGAGCCACAAACAAGTTAGTAAGGCAGGAATAACCATTACGAAAGCCGTGTCGAGAGGGATTGAGCAACCCAAGTGCCCTTAAATGTTCTTTGAGAGTCCCTCAGGTTTTTTAACAGCTTGGCCAGCACGCTCATCAAACTGACCGGTCTATGGTTTTCAGGTAAGTGCTTGTCACCTGTTTTAAAAATGGGACATAGAATAGCCTCCTTCCAGTCAGTCGGTAGAGAACAGCTGCGTCGGGACTTCTCAAATAAATGTGGAATCGGAAGACAAATTTCATCAGCCAATTCGTACAACAGTTTGGGATGAATAACATCCACCCAAGTGTAGTATGCGTCCGGTTGAGGGTTCCGAGGGCTTCTGCGTCTAGGGCGTACGTGGGTCGTAATACACCGAGGGACTGAAAAGCAAGAGATCCTTCGTAAGTGGTTGGACAGTTGCATTACTACTACCACGTTCGACCACCGGTGCCTTCGCAATTTAGCTCACATCTGGTGGGAACACCGCGTGAGCAACGAGCGTGTTCAACGCCTGGTTTACAGCACAGGAATAGGAAAAGAACCGCTCAACACCGTTATTTCACGCACCAGGATCCGATGGCTCGGCCACGTGTTACGCATGCCAACCCACCGACTCTCGCGATGTGCGTTGTTTGCGAACCGGGGATGTGGATGGAAGAAGAGGAGAGATGGCCAAGCGATGACTTGGTCGAGAGGAATGAAGGCACTCACTTCGAAGCTGACCTCGGCTGGAGCATCTTGGCTCCCTGGTTGGAGTCCGAAAGACGACGAATACGTTTGGCTGGATACACTTGTCGATATGGCTAGAAGCCGAACTCAGTGGCGTTAGTGCTGTGACTTTCTTTGTCCCACCCCATCCCTCTTAGCCTCCCCTCCAACCACGATCTCACTATTTAGCCTAATTTTACACAGTAATATTTTCGCTGCACAGTAGCCGGCTGGTAGCTTACCTGAACGATGCGCATACGTTACCGGTAGCTCAGCTGGCTTGCACCAGTTGCATTTTATCCCCTTTTTTCTTTTAGGTATTGTGGCACAGTAGTTGAGGTCTTTCCCACCTCTAGATAACGTGCATAGTGTGTGTGCATCACAACCACCTAGTAAGAGTCAGAGCTGGATAGAGGGTGTGTCTGTGTTACACCACGTGGTGTGCTAGACGGCATTGTCACAGCTGCTGATGGAGGGCCGAACATGAGGTGACTGGATGGGTGGCGTGAAAACACTCACGAGAGATGACTGCTCTAACGATACTGAATAAGAAATGGGAAGGCAAAGAGAAGAGGAGACGACAATCATAATCTGGGCTAAGCTCGACGACATATTACCTGTTGACTTGCTACGGCGATACTCTGACACGTCACCTTATCCACCCTTATGAGGCGCTGTCCTCAGCGCCTACAGAAGCCCCGGGGCCGTGTTAACCTGCTGACGCACAGAAAGACTGATGGACGAATTCGCGTGAGAAAATGCTAGTAATCACTGCAACGGCTGCTGGTCAGATCAGGTTCCCAAAATGGCATAGGCTTCCGTCTAACGAGCGTCCTGCTTCTTGCACCAGTAAGCAACCAAGAACTCGCGGTACTTCGGCTTCCAACTGTATTTCTTGCTTCTGAAAAGAAAAGGAAGCAAAAAGAAACAATCTCGTACTTTCATCATTTATGAGTTCCCAGCAACGAGCAAGAATAAGTTTACAATATTTCTGGAAAAAGATCTGGCCAGCATCTGTCTAGACCTCTCTTGAAGGTGCCAACCGTTGTGCAGTCTATCAATGAGGGGGGAAGCTTGTTACAACTGCCAAGCATGCGGTTGGCAAAGTATTTCCCCTGATGTCTAGCGAAAACCTCCGATGCTTGAGCTTAAGATGGGGACTTCTCAGGTGATTTAACGTAGCTGGTTCAAACAGATCAGTAAGCCTGATACCATTAAGGTCCTTCATGATCTGAAACAGCTCTATCAGATCTCCTCACAATCTACACCTATCTTCTCACGAAGACTGAATGCACGCTAATTGAGAATGGTCAGCGACGTGAACCAAAAGTGTCCCGGAGTTATGAAATCTCTTATCTCCTTCGGCTTTAGTGGATGAACCTGTTCTCCCTGGATTATCGTCGTCGCCGTGGAGACCTGATTTTCACTCGACGTATTCTAAGAGGAGAGTTGGGAGCTGAGCTTAAAGGGTTCGTTTGACTGAACTCTGAGGGCGACTAGCGGGAATAGCTGGAAGTTGTTTAAACCGCGGAGGCTTCGAGTAACTACCAAATTTTCTCTGTCTACTCGTGTGGTAAACGACTGGTACTCCTTACCCAAACAAGTCGTCGATGCGCACAAAGTGGAAAGTTCTAAAGGACTGTTGGATTTCCATCTGATGAATATGCCGGCGTATCTGTTTTCAATGCAACTGGAACGCTCCTCTGTGGAATCCCGTTTCTCAACATATCGAGGCGTCCAAATAATGATCGGGAAGCGATGGAGCTGTCAAAAGGGTTCCCTTCTGCTCTCTACAATCCAATGAATGAATCCCAAGCTCTTTAGGCGTTCATCATACGGCTTTTCACGTTGGACCTTAACGGGGTGCGATGGTTTGTGTGCCTCAGTGATCTATTGAGCTATGCTGGGTGGTGCTTTGTTGTACTTTCAGAACCACTCATACGAGATTGCTCAATGGTTAGAGGCCAAACAAACTCAGCTTCCTGGTCCTCCAAGTTGGGTGTTGGAACGAGGGTGGCCTCTTATTCCTTAAAACGGACTCTTTGTAGCCCACCGCCAAGCCCGCTGCTTTACGGTAAGGTGTTTGAACCAAAGGCTTCGGTTGAGAACCCTAAATTTTCTCCTGTCTAGGCCTAGACAGCCTGACAGTAACATACACACGAAATCTCTGCACGATAGCCAGCTGTTTGTGACGGTATGTTGTCTACACAAGGTGTAGGCGCATTGACCCTGAATGTTTGCTTAGGGCATTAAGGTTTTTCAGGTAAGTCCCCCTTCTCTCCATCTTCTTATTCTTTATTTCATAGGTCCTCATGGTTGTATGGCAGCGAAGCATTAGCTCAAATGGCTGATGTACTGCTGTTGATGATGATGACCCACGAAATACTATGAACCCTTCAGCAAAAAATTTCTTGACGCCCTGGCAGCCGCAGAGGATAATCAACGGTGCCCTATCTGATGCATCGAGCAGGGTGGATAAGGGTTCGGTTGTTACTGCTCAGATCTTCCCGTCCTCTTAACCCCCTTTTTGCGCTTCTTCAACCTTATAGTCCCGCTCCAACTTTACTTTTATCCTTCATTTTCAATCCCCCAATGCTTGGCCATCCCCCACCTTGTTTCAATGGTCGCTTGTCTTCTAGTTTCAACTCACACACAGTCGCAGAGCGTCACTTCAATCCAGTCGACAAGTCCATGTTCAACCAAGCGGACAACGTCAGTTCATCCGCTTCCCTTTGGAGTCCTCGAGTCTCGCTAAAACGGGCATGTCTCAAGGTGTGCACGTTGCTACAGATTGGCCAACAGACAGTACTTGCCCGTACATTAGAGACCCTATCGATCGATATTTGCTGTTTATCAGAAACCCGCCTGCAAGGTTCGAGCTCTGTGCTTACCCTGCGATCCCCCACATGCGACACTGTCGGCACATTCGCATTGCGCCTGTCTGGCGATGATGCAGCTTCAAATGCCGGTCAAGCTAGTGTTGGCATTGTTTTGAGTCCCCGGGCTGAAGCTGCCCTGATCGATTGGATCCCAGTCAATAGTCGGATGTGCGCCGTTAAATTAGCTGGTTCGTTCCACGCTACGAAATCGCGAGGGAACAAACGGTGCCTGTTTGTCATTGCGGCCTACGCCCCTACAAACTGTAGCACTGACCCGGTGAAAGATGATTTCCATCAGCAACTTCACGATCTCCTTCGTTACAGACGAAGCACGGTAACTGTCCTCCGATGAGCATCATCTGGGCTCACGTAATGATAACAGTGAGGATTGCTTTAGCTGTGTGAAGATGCTCGTCTCTTTCTCGCGAGCACAAATTTTCGACACGGCCCCCGTAGTAGCGTGACTTGGCGGCCATCAGCCTCGGGCCAGCCATGAACGCAAGTTGATCACATCGCGACCAGTTACCGCTGGAGAGGCTGTCTAAAACTGTCGCTCGATTTGGAGCACGAGCGTGGACTCTGACCACGCACTTGTTTGCGCCGACCTCCGGGTGCGTTCGGCTGGACGTTCGCAACGTCGGTATCAACGGATTGACACCAGTCAGCTGTTTTGAATGCGTATCGAAGTGCGCTGACAGCAGGGATGAATAAGCGCCCACTGAACACCATCGAAGATCACTAGTCGTATATTCGTCAGATTTTACTCTCAGCAGGCATATCTTCATGTGGCAAATCAAATTGCCAAACTAGACATCAGGTCTCTACAGTCTCTGGAACTTATGGACACTCACCGAAGTATTCCGGCTGAAAGCGAATACAATGAGGCTCGCAAAAATCTCAGGGCAAAACTGCGTGCTATCCTGAAGAGAGACCGCGAAGCTTGGTGGTCTCACCATGCCCCGGAGAAGGAAACCTCCGCTACCGTTGGTAATTATGGTAAGTTATTCCGTCTGATACGGTAAACAAGCAGTAGGAGACTTGGTGTTAGCGAGACCATACGCGACGAGAGTGGGCAGCCGAACACAGCCTGTCAAAACACTTGGAGCGTTGGGCCGAACACTTTGCAAGGCAATTTAACCAATCTGAGTTATCGCTTTCTTTTTCGGGCATTGAGCGCCATTTTCTCTGGGCCGTCTCCTTGGATGCGCTCGCCCGCGCAGAAGTCGAACGTGAGATCAGGTAGTTGAAATTGCATAAGGCCGCAGAGGCGGATAAAATGCCCCCATCCCGCTTCAAATTTGGGGGACCTGCTCTAGTAGATGATTTGCACGAGTTGCTAATGAAACTTTGGGAGCAGGAGACTGTCCCGACAGACTAGAGCCGCACCATCATCGTCCCAATTTTCACTGGAGGCTCTCGTTCGGAATGCGGCAACCATAGAGGGATCAGTCTGATCTCAATTGCCTCTAAATTGCTTGTGCCTGTCATTCTCCACAGACCGACTGGCACAAGTGAAAGCCATATTCGTGAAGAGCAAGGTGGGTTTCGTCGAGGTGGGGGCTGCATCGACCACATCTTCACCTTGCGTCAGTTGTTGGAGCACCGCCATGTTTATTGGCGACCCACCATTTTCGTGTTTCTTGACATAAAAGGTGCCATCGACTCAGTCGATCGATGTGTCCTTTGGAAGTGCCTGCTGAGGAAAGGTGTGCCTGATAAATACGTAAACATTATCAAAGCGCTGTACGCGCATAGTTTGGGCAGAGTGAGGGTTTATGGCAAACTGTCGCGGTGCTTCAGTATCGCCAGCGGTGTGAGACAAGGTTGCCCGCTGTCACCTTTCCTACTTAACTTCGCAGTTGACAAAGTCATGGAAACAGCATTCGCTGGATACGAGCTAGAAGATGTGGAGCTACTTCCTGGTGAGCGAATTTCTGACTTGGAGTATGCGGACGATAATGTCCTAATCTGTGACAGCTCCCAAACATGCCAAGCAGCACTAGACTGATTGGCACTGGCTGTCTATCATTTTGGGCAATGCTTTGCTCCATCGAAATGCAAAGTACTTCTCCAAGATTGACAAGGACCCACCCCTGCGCTAACGCTTTGTGGTGGTCAGCTAGTAGTTCAGGAATTCAAGTACCTGGACAGCTATATTAGTGCCCGTGAGATCGAAGATGAGGTTACGAACCGTATAGCAAAAGCCCGAGGTGCTTTTGCCAATCTCCGCCACCTGTGGCGCAGATGCGACATTACACTCGCACTGAAGGGCACTGTTTATAACGAAGCCGTCCGTTCAACTCTCCCATATGGTTGTGAAACCTGGCCCATCAGGTCGACAGACATAACGAGACTAGTCACATTCCATCATCGCTGCATTCGCAACTTAGCTCATGCCTGGTGGGAGCACCGCGTGAGTAATGAGCGTGTTCGGCGTTGGGTGTTTGGTGCAGGAAGAGCAAGTGAACCGCTCAGCACCATTATATCACGCACCAGGCTCCGATGGCTTGGCCACGTATTGCGCAAGCCAGCACACCGATTTCTACCACGTGCATTGTTTGCACGACGGGGGTGCGGTTGGAAGAAGAGGAGGGGAGGCCAAGCGATGACTTGGTCGATAGGAATGAAAACCATCACTTTGAAACTGGCGTCGGTTGGTGCATCGCGAATGCTTGGCTTTGGTCCTAAGGACGATGAACACGTTTGTTTGGACACACTTGCTGATATGGCGAAGAGTCAGCCCCAGTGGCGTTTGTTTTGTGAGTTGCTTGGTCCATCCCCCTCCCTTTAGGTTCCCTCTGATCCCGAGATCATGCAAAACGCATAACATAATACTTGGCATCCTAATTTTTGTAGTGCAATTTTTTGGTTTCTTAGTTTTTTGTACTGCGGCACATTAGCTGAGGTGTGTTTCTCACCCTGAGCTAACGTGTAATGATGATGAAGATTTTCGCGCTGACTCTCAATCATTCTAGTCGCCAACTTCTAAACCTTATCTATACAAATAACATTCTTCCGGCGGA